TCCCAGGTAGTAAAGGCTCCGCCCACATGTTTATACATCTCCCAGGTAGTAAAGGCTCCGCCCACAGGTTTATACAGCTCCCAAGTAGTAAAGGCTCCGCCCACATGTTTATACAGTTCCCAGGTAGTAAAGGCTCCGCCCACATGTTTATACATCTCCCAGGTAGTAAAGGCTCCGCCCACATGTTTATACAGTTCCCAGGTAGTAAAGGCTCCGCCCACATGTTTATACAGTTCCCAGGTAGTAAAGGCTCCGCCCACATGTTTATACAGTTCCCAGGTAGTAAAGGCTCCGCCCACATGTTTAAAAAGTTCCCAGGTAGTAAAGGCTCCGCCCACATGTTTATACAGCTCTCAGGTAGTTGAAGAGTGCACTCAGGCCTCCCTCCAGGACCTCCTTCACAGGCTTTAGCAGAGGATTGTGGACGATGTGGAGCCCTTTATCCAGAGGATGGCAGGCCAGCCTTTCCAGCCGGGACAACTGGTGCATCTCCTGAATAGAACACATCATCTTCAGCACCATCATCATCATCAGTGTCATTACTTGTACTTGTTCAGCTCTTTACCTGAGGAATATCCCGGATGTAGTTAAAGTCCAGGTTCAGCAGCTCTAAACTGAAGAATTTTAAAATGTTTAGTTTTATGCAGTTATATTTGCTGAAGTTTTACTGTCAGGTGGTCACCTATTCATGTGGTTACCTGGTCCTATGGTTATCTGGTCATATGATTTCCTGGTCATGTAATTACCTGGTCATGTGGTCACATGGTACTATGGTTACCTGGTCATGTGGTTTATTCTTGATATGGTTTTGTGGTGATGATGTTTTCTGCTTATATGATCACCTAATTGTGTGTATACCTTGTCATGTGGGCAACTTGTCATATGTTTACCTGGACTTGTGTTTACCTGGTCAGGTGTTTACCTGGTCATTAGGTCACCTGGTTATGTGTTTACCTGGTCATGAGTTAACTTGGTCATTAGGTCACCTGGCTATGTAGTCAGCTGGTCATGTGATCACCTGGTAAGGAAGCAGAGGGCCTTGGGCAATGACTGGAGACTGTTTCCCTCCATGATCAGTGTCTTCAGCTCCACCAGAACCTGGATGTTCTCAGCCAGGTTCTCCAGGCGGTTACAGGAAAGATCTAGAAAGACCTGCAAAGACCAAAGAGGTCACTAATGTGGAGAAACATTTCCTTGTTAAACGAAAGTGTTTGTGTCTGTCCACTGAGGAAGCACCAGAGCCTTCATGCTGTAGACGCAGGTTGGGACRTGAGCGATAAGGTTGTTACTCAGGTTCAGTTTCCTCAGTCTGGTCAGATTGGAAAGAGAAGGCGGCAGGGAGATCAGCTGGTTGTCTGCCAAACTCAGTACCTTACAAACAGAACCAATGAAGGAGAATGAGCTTCCATCTGTGGTGCATCTCAGGACTTCAAGAGTCTCTGTTGGACTACAGCTTTAAAATTAAAATATTCAAATTTAGATGTGAAAGTGTTTTAATACAAGAGGATTTAAAAATCATCTTTGCACCTTTTAAGATTAACTTATTTAGTTCATTTCTAACCTTTTAGCATTTAAAATGAAGTATGGGCTCTGCAGGGCTGGCATGTGATACAAACAAAATGTGGCTTTAAAGAACAGACAGACTGAGGATCATCAGAGGCAGCAGGACTTTACCTCCAGCTGTGAGCAGTCTCCCAGCTCTTTGGGAATTTCAGTCAAACTATTTCTGTATGCGAATAAAACCCGAAGTCTCCAGAGCTGTCCGATCTCTGCTGGCAGGCTGGTCAGCTGAAAACAAAAGCGAGACAAAGGATGAACTTCCACAGTTCACATCAGAACCTCTGATCCATTCATCCTGCTTCTACTGGTTCTACAGTGGGCTCTGACTGTAGGGGGTCCTGCAGACTCTTAGTGTTCCTGTTTCTTTAGGGTCTGACTGTAGGGGGTCCTGCAGACTCTTAGTGTTTCTGTTTCTTTAGGGTCTGACTGTAGGGGGTCCTGCAGACCCTTAAGCTAGGTTCATGGTCAATGCATCATGCAGGGCACTAGGGTGCGCGCGCCATAAGTGATGCAATAGCACCGTCCCTGCCCCGTGCATTGGCTCCATGTGTTATCCTGGGGCGAGKTCGTGCACCTCCAAATTATTGTAACTTAGCAAAGACTGCGTGCACCGCGTACCATTCAAATAGTCTGTTTGTTTGTCAAGATTTTGCTCTSCTACTTTCAGCATTTCCAYAAGTTATAAMGTGTCATTTTGGAGAAATCAACTATGTAAATGCCATGTATGAACAGCTTCACTGCTGGAGAGGGTGCGCRCGCTCCAAAGCACGACTATATTTCAGCCTTTAGTGTTCCTGTTTCTTTAGGGTCTGACTGTAGGGGGCGCTGATGTTTCTGACACTGCTGCTTCTGTGTCGGAGTCCAACTGAAGCTTGAAGGACAGGGCAGAAATAGGATACAGGTGGATTACGGAATAATTAAAACATTTTTTTTACCCAGGAGGCCCAGCAGCTGCTTGATCATGCTGCCTTTCTCATGAGCTGTCAGATAGAAATTTTTGTATTGAATTTTCAAATAAATCAAAAAGAACATTAGGAAAAAAACTGTCCAAATATGCAGGTTTCTAAAGTATTGGAACAGGAGTCATACGTAACATATTTGTCTAAGTACAAATAATCATGAGGTTCCAAAGGCTACATCTTTCAGTACATAAGAAAGGAAATAAATTTGATCATGCAGGGGGTGTGCCTATATCTCTTCAGTCTAATCATTCAGATATAATGAATCTCTGTCCCTCACATAGATGATGAAACAACCCCATATTTTCTGGAATACCTCCTCTCTATTTTTGAGAATGTACAAGTTTTTTCCAGGGCTAAGCTAGAAGTCAGTTTCTTAAGCAATAGAGGTTTACCCATAGATTTCCGGTCAGATTTCTGATCTGAACACAGAGCAAACAGAAAACCTGGTGGATCATTTCATAGAGTTTTTAAATATTCAAAAAGGAACAGAAGAGAAGGGCRGAGCTGTCAACTGACCACTACCTGGTGGAGAGTTGGCTCTGATGGTGGGGAACGATGCCAGTCAGACCTGGCAGACCCAAACGTATAGTGAGGGTCTGCTGGGAACGTCTGTCAGAGTCTCCCGTCAGACGGAGCTTCAACTCAAACCTCCAGGAGAACTTTGAACATGTTCCGGGGGAGGTGGAGGAGATTGAGTCCCAGTGGGCCATGTTCTGTGCCTCCATTGTCGAGGTGGCTTACCTGAGCTGTGGCCGTAAGCTTATCGGTGCCTGTTGTGGCGGCAACACCCACAGTGAGAGATGCTGTCAGGCTGAAGGAGGAGTCCTATCAGGTCTTTTTGGCCTCTGGGACTCTGGAAACAGCCGATAGGTATCGGCAGTCCAAGCGGATTGCGGCTCGGGTGGTCGCTAAGGCAAAAACTCAGGCGTGGGAGGAGTTCAGAGAAGCCATGGAAAAAGACTTCTGTATGGCTTTGAGGTGATTCTGGTCCACCATCCTGTGTCTTGGTGGGGAAAGCGGTTTGCCACCACCACTATTTATTGTGAGGATGGTGCGCTGCTGACCTCAACTCRGGACTTTGTGGGTCAGTGGGCGGAATACTTCAAAAACCTCCTCAATCCTACCRACAGSTCTTCCCATGAGGAAGCAGAGCCTGAGGACCCTGGGTCGGACTCTCCAATTTCTGGTGCCGAGGTCACTGAGGTGGTTAAAAAGCCCCTCGGTGGCAGGGCGCCGGAGGTGGATGAGATTCACCTGGAGTTCCTTGAGACTCTGGATGTTGTGGGGTTGTGTTGGTTGATGCGACTTTACAATATTGCGTGGACATCAGGGGCAGTTCCCCTGGAYTGGCAGACCAGGGTGATGGTCCCYCTATTTAAAAAGAGGGGCCTCAGAGTGTGTTCCAACTATAGGGGGATCACACTTCTGAGCCTCCCTGATAAGGTCTATTCAGGGGTCCTGGAGAGGAGGGTCTRTCAGATAGTTKAATCTCAGATTCAGGAAGAGGAGTGTGGTTTTGGTCCTGGTCATGGAACAGTGRACCAGCTCWACACCCTCAGCAGGGTCCTGGAGGGTTCATGGGAGTTCAACCAGTCTACATGTGTTTTGTGGACATGGAGAAGGCGTTCCACYGTGTCCCTCGGGGACTTCTGTCGGGGGTACTCCTGGAGTATGGGGTACCAGGCCCATTGATAYRRGCTGTTAGGTCCCTACTGTKTCAGAGTTTGGTTTGCATTGCTGGTAGTAAGCTGTAATTGTTTTTGGTGAGAGTTGGACTCCACCAAGGTTGTCCTTTRTCACMGATTCTGYTYATAACTTTTATGGACAGAATTTCTAGGAGCAGCCAAGGTGTTGAGGGGATCCTTTCTGGTGAMCTTAGGATCACATCTCTGCTTTTTGTGGAKGATGTGGTCCTATTGGCTTCATCAGATCCTGATCTCCAGCTCTCACTGGAGCGGTTCATGGCCGAGTGTTAAGCAGCCGGGATGAGGATCAGTGCCTCCAAATCCCAGACCATGGTCTTGAGCCGGAAAAGGGTAGGGTGTCTTCTCCGCGTCAGGGAGGAGGTCCTGCTCCAAGTGGAGGAGTTTAAGTATCTCAGGTCTTGTTCATGAATGAGGGAAGAATGGAGCAGGAGATCAACAGGTGGATTGGTGCTGCGTCTGCAGTGATGTGGGTGTTGTACCGGTCTGTCATGGTGAAGAGAGAGCTGAGCCAGAAGGTGAAGCTCTCAGTTTACCAGTSGGTCTACGTTCCTACCCTCATCTATGGTCAGGAGCTTTGGGTAGTGACTGAAAGAAGGAGATCACAGATCCAAGCAGCTGAAATGAGTTTCCTCTGCAGGGTGTCTGGGCTCTCCCTTAGAGATAGGGTGAGAAGCTCAGTCATCCAGGAGGGACTCAGAGTAGAGCCGCAGCTCCTCCACGTCCAGAGGAGCCAGTTGAGGTGGTTCATCTGGTTAGGATGCCTCCTGGACTCCTCCCTGGTGAGGTGTTCTGGACACGTCCCACTGGGAGGAGACCCAGAGGAAGACCCAGGACACGCTGGAGGGACTATGTTTCTCAGCTGGTCTGGGAACACCTTGGGATTCCCCCAGAGGAGCTGGTCCAAGTGTCTGGAGAGAGGGAAGTCTGGGTCTCTGCTGAGGCTGCTGCCCCCRAGACCTGACCCGGATAAGAGGAAGAAAAYGGAYAGACAGATAAAKAAGAACACCTAAACTGGCTCTGGTTGGTGTCCATCAGCCTCTCAGCTGGTTATCTTCAGAAGTGCAGGAAATAAAACATCCTGACATGTGACCCTACAGGAAGTGAAATGAGATTTGTGTTCACCTGGTTACCCCACAAGTTGAGGACCACCAGGTTGGAGAGGCGGTTTAGCTGAGGCGGAAGAACCTTCAGATCGTTCAGGGACAGATTCAGCTTCTGCAGCTCCAGCAGCTCCCACAGCTCCTCTGGGACTTCCTGCAGAATAAAACATAGAAGAGTGAGAGGATCAGCCTGAAAACCCTCCTCAAAGAAGGAAAACTAAACTGAGTTTCACAGTTTACAGCAGCAGAACCTCCACTCTTCCTCCCAGCTGAAGGTACAGCTGCAGTACCTTCAGTCCACGACGAGCCAGGCTCAGAATGTTGTATCCAAATTGTTTGGCGGTGAGCCTTCGGATTTTGTCAGCTGATGTCAGGCTGTCCTCCAAGCCCAAGCTCCTTCTTTGTTCCTCCTTCACCTCCTCCCGACACACCATGCCCCCCATCTCCTCCTCAGACAGAGATTCACTCCAGAACCCAGACTGTTCTCAGACCATAAGGGTTTTTAATCAGTGCCAGCCTTCAGAGRTTCCTTCCAGAGATGTTCCTCTGTGGTTAATTTACCCAGATGTCCTTTTCTTGGTGTTTCTTTATGTTCTAGTAGAACCTTATTCTGTCCAGATGCTTYAGGTTCTAATAGAAGTGTCTTCTATCTAGAGGAGCTTACAGATCTGTGTTGCCCACAGGTATATCTTCAGTCCAGATGGTCCTCAGCTGTTCTRTCTCTACTCAGAGACCAGGACTCTGATGGGACTGAGTGAACCCCTGGAGGTTAGAAACAAAGAGTTGAACTTAGAAACATTCCTGATTAAGACTTGATTCTAAAACACTACAAATGTCCGTCCATCCATCCATCATCCATCATCATCCATCCATCATCCATCCATCATCCATCCATCATCCATCCATCATCCATCC